GAAGGAGAGAATGAGAAATGATCACACAGGTCACCATAGTCCAGAATGGCTAAAACCTTATGGTTCCCCATAGTGAACACATTTAGTTAGCGCAAGTGAGTGCCATCAAAGGGGAAGATGACATTAACAACAAGTTAATATTTATATAGCCCCCTTAACATCAGAGAACACCCCAGTAAGCCATTCAGGAATTAGGACAAAGTTTGGTCAGCGAGGTGGGTTTAAAGAATATCTTAAAGGAGGGTGACAAGTCAGAGTTTTAGGAAGGGGAATGCCCTGCTTAGGGTGCAGGTAGCTGAAAGCATGCTCTCTGAGTTGGGCAACTACAACCGAGGCTGCTGAAGAGGCTAGAAATTGGGGGCGGCACGGTGGCTCAGTGATTAGCACTGTTGCCTCACAGCATCATGGACCTGGGTTCGATTCCGGCCTCGGGCGACTGTCTGTGTGGAGTTTGCACATTCTACCCGTGTCTGCGTGGGTTTCCTCCGGGTGCTCCCATTTCCTCCCACAGTCCAAAGATGCGCAGGCTAGGTGGATTGCCCATAGTGTTCAGGGATGTGTACATTAGGTGGATTATAGGGGGATGGGTCTGGGTGGGATGTCTGAGGGTTGGTGTGGACATGTTGGGCCGAAGGGCCTGTTTCCGCACTGTAGGGATTCTATTCTAAATGGATGAGCTTTATGAAGTGAATTTCCTTAACTAGGCCCTGGAATGGGTGGATTGACCTATGAGGAAAGGAGACTTGTCTGAAACATCTCAGATCCTGAGGTTTTCAGGACAGGGTAGATGCTGAGGGAAATGCTACTCTTGTGGATATTACCTGTTGTGGGAGAATCTAAAATCAGGGAAGCAATGCTTAAAAAGGAATAGTCACGACAGAGATGAGGTGAACTGTTTTCCCGGGGTGGGGTCATGTGACTTTGCAACTCTCTTCCTAAAAGGACAGTGCAAGCCAAACTTTTCGAATCTATTTAAGGCAAAGCTGGATCTATCATTGAAAAGCAACAGGGTGGAAGGTTATCTGGGGCTAGGTGAGAATGTGGAGCATTCAGATCAGCCATGATGATGCTAAGGGGCAGACCTGGGTCAAGGGGATGACTGGCCTATTCCTGGCCCTAATTCACACTCTCCTGGCTGAGATCAGTGGAAGATAGTAGGAACTACAGATGTTGGAGAATCTGAGATAACAAGGTGTAGAGCTGGATGAACACAGCAGGCGAGGCAGCATCAGAGGAGCAGGAAAGCTGACGTTTCCGGCCTCGAACCTTCTTCAGAAATGTTGGTGATTTCTGAAGAAGGGTCTAGGCCTGAAACATCAGCTTTCCTGCACCTCTCATGCTGCTTGGCCTGCTGTGTTCATCCAGCTCTACACCTTGTTATCTGAGGTCAGTGGGAGGTAGGTTAGAATGGGTTAGGGGAATTGAGCTAACCAAAGGGAACTGTGAAAAAGATGAAGACAATTCAAAAGCTTCACTGTGGATCAGGAAGACTCCTGGTTAACGTAATGGCTGGAGGGGCACAAGAGTTTGGCACACCGTGTCCTTAAACAAATAAGATGTATATCATTGCATAAAAATGTCTACTTCAGACTTTAAAATTAATTTTCAAGCTCTTGTGCTAGATTCTGAATCAAACCAGTCATCGGTTGTCTTCCTTCTTTCTATTTTCAGATAAAAAGGATGCAATTAAAGTACGGATTAGTTTGAAGGCAGCCCTTGGAGAGAATGCTGTAAGAGTGGTTTTATTATCATAAAATCATAACATCATAGAAGCAGGAGTGGGTCATTCAAACTCCTTGAGCTTGCTCCACCAATCAGTAAGATCCTAGTTGATCCAGTTGTGCTGTCTCATTTCAGATTCCCCCACAAGAGCGAATTTATGCGTTTCATTAAGATTATCTCAATTTTTTCTTTCTCTCAATGCCAAAGAGTACAAGCCCAACATTTTCCTTGGAAGACAATCCTCTTATCGCAGGGGAGTGAATGTGAACCTCTTCTGAAACAAGTATTCCTCTCCTAAACTGAAAATAAGAAATGCTGGAAATCACATCAGGTCGGGCAGCATCTGTAGAGAGAGGGCAAGCTAATGTTTCGAGTCTAGGTGGCTCTTCATCACAGACTCGAGGTGTTAGCCTGCTCTCTCTCCATGGATTCTGCCTGACCTGCTGAGATTTCCAGCATTTTTTGCTTACAGTACAGATCCCAGTGCCTGCACTAATTTGCTCCGACATCCCTCTCCTTAAATAAGGAAGCCAAACCTACATACATTAGCCCAGCTGTAGTCTCACCAGTGCTATGTACAGCAGTGGGAGGGTTCCCCTGCTTTTACATTCAATCTCCATTGCAATAAAGGTCAACACACATTTGCTTTCCCTGATGACTTACTGTACCTGCTTGCTCACTTTATGTGACCCATGTACAAGACTGTTCAGATGTATTGCAGCGTCCCACAGTCTCTCTAATATTCTACTTTTCAATTTACCCAATGACAACGTCTCATTTTCCTACATCTGCCAGATGTGTGTTTCATCCTTCTATACTCCTTTGAAGGTTATTTGTGACCTCCTTAAAACTTGCTTTCCTGCATATTTTTCTGTCATCAGCAAAGTTGGCTACAAACTGGTAAATGTCTTCTAGCTAAGTCATGGATACAGATCTGAAATGTTTCAGGCTCCAGTACCTGCAACCTAAAGTCCATATAGTGTGCAAACAGGCATTAAACCCATATTGCCCTTCCAAAGAACAGTATCCCACCTAGACCCACCCTGCGCTTTCCCATGGCCAATCCACCTAATCTGCACATCTTTGGACTGTGGGAGGAAACCAAAGCAAATCCACGCAGACACAGGGAGAATCCCATACAGACAGTCACCCAAGGTTAGGATTGAACCTGGGTCCCTAGCGCTGTGAGGCAACAGTGCTAACCACTGAGCCACCGTGCTGCAATTTATCCTGGATTTCTTTCTTTAAGTTCAGACAATCCTCTATCCATGCTAATATATCACTTACAACACCTTTGAGTCCTTGTGCATGATCTTTTAAGTGGCACCTTACCAAATGCCTTTTGAAAATCCAAATACACTGCATCTACTGGGTCTCCTTTATCTATCCATCTTGTTCCATTATCAAAGAACTCTAATTCAATCATTGAACACGATTTCCCTTTCTCAAAGCCATGATGATTCTGCCTGATTCTATTCTAAATGTCTTATGATTGCCTTCTTTTTACAGATTTTAGCATTTCCCAATAATATATGTTAGGCTAACGGGGGGATGGATTCCTGCTTCCTCTCTCTGTCGTTGCTTGAATAGTGGTGTTATGTTAGTGGTTTTCTGATCTTCTGGGACATTTCTAGAATTGAGAGAATCTTGAAAGATTACAACCAATGCATCAATTATCGCTGCAACCACCTTTTTGTTTTAAAATCCTGAGGTGCTGTCCAGGTCGAAAGGGATTGTCATTCTTCAGTCCCATTAGTTTTCCAAGACTTTTTTCCCCAATGATAGTGATCATTTTAGATTCTCCTTTCCCTTTTGCTTCCTGATTTTCTGCTGTTGATGAGATACTTCTTGCGGCTTGCCCGGTAAAAGTTGGTATCAAATTCTTGCTCAAAACTTTGTTTCCCCTTTCACCCTCTAAGAAAACAAATCTCCGTTTAGCTACTGTTTTCCTGTTTATTTACGGTACAACAGTATTATTTACCCACAATAATTTATTTTCTCCCAATATATTTGGCATCCTCTGCTGATTTCTAAAATATTTCTGGAGTTCTTTCCTAACACTTTACAACATTGTATGACTTTTCTTCCATTTTTCTGCCAGCCTTCACTACCTTATTGAGGCATTTTTTTCTCTCTCAATGGAAAAGATCTTTGGTGAGAGCTGATTTCTTCTAAAATGTACATCACTGTTTCTCTACTGTCCTGACTTTAAACACATATTCCCAGTCCACTTTAGCTAACTCAGTCACAATACAAGTGTATCTCATGCTGTTAGGCATGCAATCACTATACTCAAGCTGCTAAAAAAGCTGCATCCCAACATCAGACAATTGGTACTCCTAGTCTTCAGGAACAGTATGCAATACTCAACATTAGGCTCTGTTGCTGGGTGAATAAATAACTGGTGTGCTGAATTGCGAATTAAAATGATTAATCACTAGTGAGCAACAATGATTCTGTCTGTAAGATGCTCCTGCAAATCCAGATGAAAATATGAAATTGCCAACCATGACTTAAGAGTGGGTGAATCAGGGCGGGCAGTGGGTGACCTGGAGACAGTAAGGATTGCAGATGCTGGAAGCTGGAGTCAATAAATGTGGAGCTGGAAAAGCACAGCTGGTCAGACAGCATCTGAGGAGCAGGGAAGTCAATGTTTCGGGCTGAATTGACAGGGTAGACAGTGGGTATAGGAGTGGGTGAATAGGGTAGACAGTGGGTATAGGAGTGGGTGAACAGGGTAGACAGTGGGTGAATAGGGTAGACAGTGGGTATAGGAGTGGGTGAACAGAGTAGACAGTGGGTATAGGAGTGGGTGAACAGGGTAGATAGTGAGTATAGGAATGGGTGAATAAGGTAGACAGAGGGTATAGGCGTAGGTGAATGAACAAGGTAGACAGTGGGTATAGGAGTGGGTGAATCAGGATAGATAGTGGGTGTAGGAATAGGTGAATGAACAAGGTAGACAGTGGGTATAGGAGTGGGTGAACAGGATAGACAGTGGGTATAGGAGTGGGTGAACAGGGTAGACAGTGGGTATA